CCATCCATCTATCTATCTATCTATCTATCTATCTATCTATCTATCTGTCTATCTATCTATCTATCTATCTGTCTATCTGTCTGTCTGTCTGTCTGTCTGTCTGTCTGTCTGTCTGTCTATCGTTCTATCCATCGTTTTGTCTGTCTATCCATCAATCCATCCATCCATCTATCGTTCTGTCTGTCTGTCTGTCTGTCTGTCTATCTATCTATCTATCTATCTATCTATCTATCTATCTATCTATCTATCTATCTATCTATCTATCTATCTATCTATCTATCTATCTATCTATCTATCTATCTATCTATCTATCTATCTATCTATCTATCTATCTATCTATCTATCTATCTATCTATCTATCTATCTATCTATCTATCTATCTATCTATCTATCTATCTATCTATCTATCTATCTATCTATCTATCTATCTATCTATCTATCTATCTATCTATCTATCTATCTATCTATCTATCTATCTATCTATCTATCTATCTATCTATCTATCTATCTATCTATCTATCTATCTATCTATCTATCTATCTATCTATCTATCTATCTATCTATCTATCTATCTATCTATCTATCTATCTATCTATCTATCTATCTATCTATCTATCTATCTATCTATCTATCTATCTATCTATCTATCTATCTATCTATCTATCTATCTATCTATCTATCTATCTATCTATCTATCTATCTATCTATCTATCTATCTATCTATCTATCTATCTATCTATCTATCTATCTATCTATCTATCTATCTATCTATCTATCTATCTATCTATCTATCTATCTATCTATCTATCTATCTGTCTATCTGTCTGTCTATCTATCTATCTATCCATCCATCTATCGTTCTGTCTGTCTGTCTGTCTGTCTGTCATCCATCTATCTATCTGTTCAATCGTTTGTTCTGTCTATCCATCCATCCATCTATCTATCTATCTATCTATCTATCTATCCATCCATCTATCGTTCTGTTTGTCTGTCTATCTATCTATCTATCGATCTATCTATCGATCGTTCTATCGATCGTTCTATCGATCGTTCTGTCTGTCTATCATCCATCTATCCATCAATCTATCAATCTATCAATCTATCCATCTATCTATCTATCTATCTATCTATCTATCACCCTGCTTCACAATGGAAGTCATTTACATATATAAGTCTTAAAGGTACAGTAGCAAATACAATCTGTATAGCTCTACGGATCAGAAAGACGTTGGGAAATGATCATGAAAAACTAAATTATGACAACAAACCCGATTAACTGATAATATAAAATGGACACGAGAGAAAATAAAGTCCACAAACATGTTAAACAAAAAGAGACAGAGGGAGAGACGAGCGCAGAGTTACTTGGACTGGTCCAGTGCAAGCCTTGTGATCTTCAGGCTGTAGTCTGGACAGATGGAGGTGATGGACAAACGGTCGGACGAATGATACTGAGCCCTGCGAGTGACAGTGAGGGAGGAACAGGAGGATTGTGGGAAGCAGAGGATCGAGGGAACAGAGTGAGTTATGTGGTCTGTATTCTAAAGACACAGATGAAGCCAAACCTTAACATTTGTATGCATCTTGTAGTGTACTGTAAAAGTAATGCTGGTTTTGTGTATTATATTGATCAATAAAAATCCATAAAGAAAGAAAATCATTTTATCTGCATTTGACCTAATAATGTTTACATTGCACACATACTGGAGGATTACATTTGCTTTTTTATTTGATCTCCTTTAGTTTGCATGTTTGAATTTGCTAGTTAGTTTTTAGTAAAATGCAGAAAATCTAATTTGTATTTCCACTGATTAAAGAAATCATTAAAATATAAACTGAATATCAAAAAAGTTTTGTTTTCCAAGATTCTTAAAAGAATATTACTACAAGACATATTATGAAATATTCTTACAATTTAAAATGACAGTATTCTATTGTATTTTTTTTCATTATTTTCTGTCATGTTTTTCAATAGAATTTTCATTTTTGAATGTTCTATTTTCAGCAGCCATTTCTCCAGTTTGAAATAAAAATATAATTACTTGATAATTATAATTACTATTATTAGAAAACATTGTAAATACCTGCCATTTTTTGATCAGTTTAATGCACCTTTGCGGAGTAAAAGTATCAATTTCTTAAAAAAAAAAATATATAGAAATCCCAAACCTTTGAACGGCAATATACATAATCAAAATGAACTTCAGATTAAGGGTATCACACTCATCACAATGATGACTGGCATTCAGACAAGGATGAAGAACTTGTTTTAAATGTGTGACAGTCAAAACATTTAGAAGAAAACAAATGATCAAATCAATCATTTTTGCACTTCCTTTGCACTGGAGAAAAAAAATCCAAAAAACTGCTAGAGCGGCAGACACTCTAACCTGACCGGTATAGACGTGAAGGGTTTCTTGTAGACGTCGGAGAGTTTGTCCATGACGACAGCAGCGGTGGTGAAGATGCGGTAGGTGTGGAGGAAGGTGTTGAGGAAGTCGATGGACAGGAAGCGCAGGTCGGTCAGCCGTTCCAGGAGTCTCTCCACGCTGGCGTAACGGATCTGTGGCACCTTGCAGGAGTTCAGCGTCTTACTGAAGCAGATGTCCACATCGTCTTTATGCAGTCGGGCGTCAGACCTGCAGACACGAACGAGCAAATTAACTATTTACAGTGAACTCATCAGGATTAAGTCGGTGTAAACTAAAATTAAAATTAAAACTATAAAATATTTACTTTTTTTTGTTAATTGGAATTATGCTGAAATGAAACAAAATCTAAATATTAGATAAAAGTCTTAAAGTTAAATGGAATTTAGAAATAATATCTTGGCAGCTAAATGAAAAAAGTTGTATTAAAAAAACAATTATTAAAAACCATTTTAAATACATAGATTTTTATTTTAAAACAAAACAAATAAAATATTTATATTTTATAAAAAATATATTTGTTTTGATATTTGTAATTTTAAAATAAATAAACAATTGATTTAAAATAAATATGCATTTACTGTATTTAAATAAACGTAAAAAATGTCTTTATTTTAAATAATTAAAACAACAAATACATTTTATGTGTTTATTTTTATTACGTGTGTGTGTGTGTGTGTGTGTGTTTATAAATGTAAATAAATATTAATTTAAAATGAAGCATATTTATGTTAAATACATTATTATTGTAAAATAAACAAAATATTTATGTTTTTATAACAAATATATGTTATGTCCGATCGCTACCATTTTGTTCATTTAAATGGGGAGTCATCTCAATTATCACCAGTAAAATATGGAGTGCCACAAGGATCTGTCCTAGGTCCTCTGCTATTTTCGATATACATGTTGCCCCTTAGTAATATTATTAGAAAATACGGGATTAGTTTCCACTGTTATGCCGATGATACTCAACTATATATCGCAACAAGACGAAATTTCAGATGAAACTTCTAAATGATCTAAGCTAACAGAGTGTGTTAAAAATGAAAAAGATTGGATGACCAATAATTTTCTCCTATTAAACTCGGATAAGACAGAGATATTACTTATTAGACCAAAAAACAGTACACAGAATCTCGTGGATTAAAATTTGCAACTAGACGGATGTACGGTTACTTCCTCTACAGTCAAAAATCTGGGTGTTATATTAGATAGCAACTTGTCTTTTGAAAAACATATTTCCCATGTTACAAAAACAGCATTCTTCCATCTTAGAAACATTGCCAAACTACGAAATATGTTACCTGTTTCTGATGCAGAAAAGCTAGTTCATGCATTCATGACCTCTAGACTGGACTAATGTAATGCACTGCTAGGTGGTTGTCCTGCATGGTGTTCTGGATCCAGACTGAAGCTTGTGTAAATCCTAATTATGTCTCTATTTGTTTCTCTGTTTCTGCTGGGATTGACATCCGTGGTAACTAGGATTTACACAAGCTTCAGTCTGGATCCAGAACACCTGAGAAGAGATGATGCCAACCCCTCAGAGGAGCTCAGATGATGCCAACCCTGAAACAACATACTGAACTACCACATTTTGCTATAAGTTTGCTTGCATCATATAATAATTGCTGTTAATAGTGTTCATCGTCTGTTTGATTATGTCTTTAATTGATTTTTCCGTACATTTCTGCCATATGTACATTAACTGACAGTCACCACTGATAAGCTACCACTAAATATTGTAGAAACTTAATTTGCTGTAAAGTTGCTTTGCAATGATTTGTATCGTGAAAAGCGCTGTACAAATAAACTTGAATATGTATGTATTTGTATTTGCATAATAAAGGAATCTGATTTTAAATAAAAAATAAAGAAAATTAGAAATGGAATAAAGCTGAAGCACTACAATTACTTAAAATAAAATAAAAATAAATAAAAAGCTAAACAAGTATTAAAATTTTTAACACTAATTAAAAAAATCTAAGTATTCATAAAATAGCACTGGAGTGCTTGTGTTTTACTTGATCATGTGAGGCACGGTGACTTTGGAGTTGTCCTCAAACACGCTGGTCATCAAGCCATTGCAGCGAATGTTGTCAATGCACTAAATGGCATAAAAATAGAGAAAAGAAAAACTTCACTCTCACGTTCTAGCAACTGTAACAGCAGTCAAAATAAACAAACTAGGGGTGCACAACATATTAGTAAACAATCATTATCAGCTAATATTAGCTTTTTAAATGATCAGCATTCGTCTGATTAGGCTGATACTGGTAGCATATAATATAAGGGCTTATTTTTCCTACTCAAATTGTTTTTATAAGATGACAGTTCATCTGAAGCGCATAAAATTATAGATAAATGAATAAACAAAAAGACCAAAACAGTTACCAATATTAACCCAAAATTTGCATACCAGTTCATCCCTAGGGCAAAGTGTATAATAGACCGTTCATACTAAAAATATTATGCAAAAACCTTACCGTAAAGTCAGAGAAACTATTTATGTCAATGCAAATATAATGGAAACTTCCCACTCGTGTGCATTTCATGCATGTTGCTTTCTAGCTAGAAAACATGAACTTCTGTTCTTGGGCTTTGATTGAATCTCTACATTTCTGAGCTTGAATAAACCGTTTAATTCTTGTGCATGCATTTTTGTTTCATATGAGTTGTGATATTCATTGAAAAGGCTGTTCTACAGATACAAAAGGTGTGAATAAGCGTGTTGCATGTATTGTGCAGATTGTACCTGGCTCATGTCGCTGGTCCAGGCTGCTTTCTCCTGCCGAGACGGAGCGAGCAGAACGACTGCAAACGACGGACCATCAGCAGGTTCAACCACTATCTTAAACTCCAGACGATTGAATCCCTGACCAGCAGCATTATCTGAGGAGATTGGAAATCAAAACTCACTCGGTTTACTTCATTGATAGTTAGCTTTGTGTTGGTATTACTGGGTTTGACGGTTGGTTTGGCGTCACACTTACAGTCTTCATCATTGGCGTCCAGCTCCTCGATAAGCGCACACTCTATCAGAGACAACCTGCCTCCCTGCTGTGGTTTAGAAGAAAGGTACTTTTATTATGGTTATTTCATGCTTTTGTATGAAACAGTTCACCCAGATGTCTGAACTGCTCTTTTCTTTTCAACAAAGGTGAACAGTGACCAATACTGTAAATAAAACAAAGTGGGGTAGGAACAACATATAATAAGATAATATTTTAGGGTGAACAATTCCTTTAAGAAATGTAGGTCCCACTTTATATTAGGTGGCCTTAAGTATGATGTACTTACATCAAAAAATAAGTTCAGTGTACTTATTGTGTTCATATTGTATTGCAAAACACTTTTGCTGCTATTGAGGTGGGATACGGGTTAGGTTTAGGAAAGCCACACACCTGTCTATATAAGACCTTACAGCTCACAGTGCATGTCAGAGCAAATGAGAATCATGAGGTCAAAGGAATTGCCTGAAGAGCTCAGAGACAGAATTGTGGCAAGGCACAGATCTGGCCAAGGTTACAAAAAAATTTCTGTTGCACTTAAGGTTCCTAAGAGCACAGTGGCCTCCATAATCCTTAAATGGAAGACGTTTGGGATGACCAGAACCCTTCCTAGAGCTGGCTGTCCGGCCAAACTGAGCTATCGGGGGAGAAGAGCCTTGGTGAGAGAGGTAAAGAAGAACCCAAAGATCACTGTGGCTGAGCTCCAGAGATGCAGTCGGGAGATGGGAGAAAGTTGTAGAAAGTCAACCATCACTGCAGCCCTCCACCAGTCGGGGCTTTATGGCAGAGTGGCCCGACGGAAGCCTCTCCTCAGTTCAAGACACATGAAAGCCCGCATGGAGTTTGCTAAAAAAACACCTGAAGGACTCCAAGATGGTGAGAAATAAGATTCTCTGGTCTGATGAGACCAAGATAGAACTTTTTGGCCTTAATTCTAAGTGGTATGTGTGGAGAAAACCAGGCACCTGTCCAATACAGTCCCAACAGTGAAGCATGGTGGTGGCAGCATCATGCTGTGGGGGTGTTTTTCAGCTGCAGGGACAGGACGACTGGTTGCAATCGAGGGAAAGATGAATGCGGCCAAGTACAGGGATATCCTGGACGAAAACCTTCTCCAGAGTGCTCAGGACCTCAGACTGGAACTAAGGTTTACCTTCCAACAAGACAATGACCCTAAGCACACAGCTAAAATAACGAAGGAGTGGCTTCACAACAACTCTGTTACTGTTCTTGAATGGCCCAGCCAGATCCCTGACTTAAACCCAATTGAGCATCTCTGGAGAGACCTAAAAATGGCTGTCCACCAACGTTTACCATCCAACCTGATAGAACTGGAGAGGATCTGCAAGGAGGAATGGCGGAGGATCCCCAAATCCAGGTGTGAATAACTTGTTGCATCTTTCCCAAAAAGACTCATGGCTGTATTAGATCAAATGGGTGCTTCTACTAAATACTGAGCATTTTTCAGTTTTTCTTTTTTAATAAATCTGCAAAGATGTCAACAATTCTGTTTCTTTCTGTCAATATGGGGTGCTGTGTGTACATTAATGAGGAAAAAAAATTAACTTAAATGATTTTAGCAAATGGCTGCAATATAACAAAGAGTGAAAAATTTAAGGGGGTCTGAATACTTTCCGTACCCACTGTATATTAATTACTCATGTCGATCCAAACCCATAAAATCTTCGTTCATCTTCAGAACACAAATGAAGATATTTTTGATGGATTCTGAGAGCTCTCTGACCCTTCATAGACAGCAAGGATATTACCACGATCAATGCACAGAAACGTAGCAAGCACATCGTAAAATAGTCCATGTGACATCAGGGGGTTCAACCGTAATTTTACGAAGCTACGAGAATACTTTTTGTGCACAAATTAAACAATTTTTAATTTTGTGTTCCGAAGATGAATGGAGGTCTTACGGGTTTAGAACGACACGAGGGTGAGTAATTAGTGACAGAATTTTAATTTTTGGGTGAACTATCCCTTTAAGAAACTGGAAGTATCACTTTGATTCTTTGTGTTGCTGAGCTGTTATTATCTTCAGATGGACTCGACTCACTTTGAGCAGGTGCAGTTTGCCGCCGGAGGTGCGCGTGCAGATGAGGAAGTGTTTGGTGAACAGGAAACACTGGCGTTCGGCTTCTTTCCTGAGCGACAGCGAGCCCAGACGCACCTTACTCAGTTTACCCTTCTCCACGGAGGGCAGCTGAATCAGAGAGCCTACAGCAAACACACACACACACATCAGCTCATTACCCAGAGGAAGGAGAACATTAAAGACAGCGTTTCAGGGAGAGAGCGCAGCACTGTCTCATCCAGAGATGCTTTTCTATGAGACAAGATGCATTAAAATGGCACATTAGATCTCATTAGAGCACATTTCACACCTTGCTGTCAGTGTGGAGCAGAAACAATCACACACTCATATTCATACTAAACTACTGACTGACTTTTGTTTGAAATAAAGAAACAATAATAATATACAACAAACAAATAATACATATTTATTTAAAATGAATACATTTTTATTTTTGTTTGTAAATATGCTTTTGTATTTAAATAAAGAAATAATATTAATTTTAAAACAATTAAAACTTTTATTTTTATCATATATATATATAAATAATAAATATTTATATTAAATAGTTTTATTTTTAAAATAAAATATTTTTGTTTGCAATAAATATTACAAACAAACATTAATTTAAAAAATGATTATAAATAAAGAAATAATGTTAATTAAAATAAATATCTTATTTTTAAACCAACATTTTTTGTTTAAATAAAATATTAGTTTCATTTTGCATAATACATTTATATAATGCATTATATAATTTTTATCATTTTAAATTTAAAATAATCTGGATTTATAAAAAAAAATATTTATTGCAAAGACATAAATTCGAATTACATTTTTTTTATAAATTTACATGCTTAACATTTAAAAATTGAACTAATGCATATTTTTAGGTGAACATCTGACCCATAAAAATGATTTTTCTTGCCGTAACATGATAAATAGGTCAGAAATCAGTAATATTTAATCATTTAAATCAATCAAACCATCAAATAAATAAAACAAACAAACAAAAATAGCTAATGGGGATCAGCTGGTAGAAAATGACACTAGTAGAAAAGCAGAACAAACAGGAAGGAATCACTTCATGAAGTATTGGGGTAGAAAATCATTTGAAGAGAAAGTGTCCTGCAATCAAACACCCCGCCGCTCCATAATGAACTGTGTCTCACCCTGCCGTACAAAAGTCTGACTGGTGTCCAGCAGAATATCACAGCCCTCCACGATCATTCGCTCGATCGCCAGATTCTTACGGATGTTTTCTGTGTCACTCACTTCATCGTGCATCATTCTGAGAATAAACGCACAAACACAGCTGTATCATCTCAGTCTATACAATAAATAGATCTTAAGGTATTTGGCAGAAATGTGAATTGGTCTATATTGAACCATGACATATTCTAGGCTTGAGAGAAAGTGTGATCAATGCCCTGGTCACATGAATGTTAATAATAAAATTCAAAAGCCTTGTTTGCATTTAAAAGGATCACTTTTTTCCATAGAGGAAGCACTTACACTAATGGGGCTGCTTGATATGAGAGTTTCATCTTAGAATAACCGCATGTTTAGTGGATACAATCTGATATAATTTCACAGAAGTGTATGGCATCTTACTGCTTTTAGGATGATTTTAAAAGTTGGTGAAGAATTAAGGGAGAAAACAGCAATTTAAAATAAATAGTTAGTACATATGCATTTTAAATAAATATATTTTTTATTTTAAAGCAAATAAAAGATGTTTTTATATGAATAAATTAATAATACAAATGTATTTTAAAATATTATTTTCTATTTTTATAATACATTACTATTTTTATTTTTTTATAATTTTGATTGAAACTGATGTAAACAGAAAACATAAATATAAAATTTAAAATCTTCACTCTTAAAAATAAAGGTTCCAATTAGAACAAACAATGTTTTTACAGTCTAAATCAATAAAAGAACGCCATGAACAACTTTTAATTCTCTAGTTCTTTGTTATACTTTCTATTTTCTTGTGCTTTATAGTCAAAATACTGGTCTGAAGGACCTATAAAACCTTATAGCATCTCAAGAGCCCGAAACACCCCAAAAATGCTTCTTAACATGAAGAATCCTTATTTCTAAGCCTTTTTTTTTAGCTTTCACTCACTTGGACAGTTCCTCAAGTTTGGATTTGGCAAACTCCAGACTCTTGCGCTCCACATGTTCATGAGGCGTGTGGGCGAGGAGCTCATGAAGGGTGATGATGTACCGCGGGATCTAATAGTAACAATGAAAATACACAAGTACTCCGTTTTACACAATGTAGCACAGTTAAATGAGATGCAATATGCTAGTGTTACTACTGCTCAAAGGTCAGAGGTCAGCGGTTCACCTGAAACATGGGGTAGGTGAGGAAGGTTTCCAGCATTCGGTCCTCACAGGTGGCGTTGGCTTCATACTGCTTCAGAAGCTTGTCAAAGTCCCGGTTCTGTTTACAGTTGGCCAGAACCTGCAAACTGTACTGATGGTTTCGCACAAACTCCTGATAAATGTTCAGCATCGGCAGCAAGATGTCGAAGAGATCCGCTGAAACGTCACAGTACGGTTTTGCATCATGTTTATGTGAACATTGTTAGACAAAATGATGATATGTAAGTGGTCATTTCTATTCTGACTTGTGTAGATTATTAGATGTTATTATGATGTTAATTTTTACTCTATGTGTGGAGAGTAAAAAAAGCATTTCACTGCATGTCTGGCATGTATGTTTGCGTGCAAAAATAAAAAAATAAAATAAAACTCACCTAACACTAAAGTTGGCCAGTTGGCTATCCGAGCCTTCAAGCCTTGATGGAATATCTCATGGAGAAACATTATCGTCTCACTTACAAATAAAGAAAAAATGAGAAATGCATGGCACATCAATTTCTGACACTTAAAGACAGATATTATACTTTCAAAAAGAGTTGCATATAGTTGCATATTGTAAAAAAAGATGATAGTTGCATATTTTTAAACGTTTATTGGTGGTGTCAGAATAAAAGTAATTTTTTCTTGATCAACAGCATGACAAAATTTGAAAAAATAATCTGAAATACTGTATAAAGCTTGTTTCCATCATGGAATAAAAAACTAAAAGTGATTCATAACTAAAGTAATTGTGACTTCTCACAATTCTGACTTTTATCTTGCAATTGTGAGTTCATATCTGGCAATTCCATTTTTTTTCCACACGGAGAAAAAAAAATTGCAAGATAAAAAATTGTGAGAAAAAAACTTTGCAATTACTGTTTTCATTATTTATTCTGTTATGGAAAAAAACGAAAAATTTCAAGATGTAAACTCACAATTCTGAGACGAAAAGTCAGAATTGTGAGAAAAAAGTTCCAGGTACTTTATTTTATTTTTTATTCAGTGGTGGAAACTAAATAACAGAAGAGCGAAATATAAATTCGGAGAAAAAAAGTACAAATTTTGAAATATAATCTCAAAATTGTGAGATAAAAAAAAAATTCTCAATTACTATTTTTCTTTTTTTTATTCCCTGGTGGAAACGAAAAAAGAAAAACTGAATTGACAGATAAACTTACAATTCCAAGACAAAAATCAGAATTGAATTTGCAAGATATAAACTTATAATTATAAAATTATAAAAAACTCAGAACTGCAATATAAAATCTCGCAATTGCAAGAAAAAGTCACAATTACCTTTTAATTTTTTTATTTTGTGGTAGAAACAAAAAATCACAATAGCAAGACATCAATTCAGAAAAACAAGTCAGAATTGTGAGATACAAACTCAGAACTGTGATATATAAACTCACAGTTGCTGAGATAAAAAGTCACAGTTACACGGTAGCTTCCAGAGTATTCCTCCAAGTATTCGATTCATTTCAAGTTGACCACGTGATTTATACCTATTGAGGAAGATGCTGCTGACATCGTCATGACTAATGGGGGGTTTTTTGGAGCTGGCCGCCATCCTGAGCGGCCGCAGGAAGCAGTTGACCAGGATGGAGAGCTGGAGCACGTACTCCGTCTCGGCCTCCACCATGTTAAAGACGATCTGGTTTCTCTTTCTCATGCTCTCGGCGTGAGGTGAGCAGATGTAGTCCTGCACGATGATCTTCCACTTCCTTCTGCACAGCCAACCACGCATGAAGCTTTGCACCTGCGAGAAAACATGCCACGGAGACGCCCGAATGACTGCACTTACACTAGACACAATAGCAAACATTACTGTGTAAATGTATAATTGTGAACAAATATACAATCCAAATGTAGACAATCATATACCTTCTTGATTTTCTTGATATCTGGATCTTCTTCCTCTTGATTGGACTGATAGGGCAACATTCGCTCTTGTGTTTTATTCAGAACGACAATCTAGAACACAGATAACACAGTTAATATGGGTTGCCAGGTTTTCTTGTACAATTGGGCTCTTGAAAAATATTGAAAATGCTTTTGCTGGAAATTTATATTTTTTAGGGTCTACTTTTATAATGCACTGAGGCCACCAAAAAGGTTGATTTGTAGAAAAAAAATATGAAGATCCTTTTACTAATGCGTATTGATCCTTTCCTGTTAATACCTGGCAACTAAAGGTTGCATGAGTGTACAGTATATATATATTCAGTAACTTAAGAGGTATAGAATACAGTAAACAATAAATATGCAAATACTACATATGAACTAGTCTAGCTAAAATTCATTAAAAAAGAAATGTTAAAATCAATGATCTATGCTAAGCTACAGCTAAAAGTGCTACTGCCAGACCCGGAGATCGGCTGAATGGATTTGAAAACGGTAAAACTCAACTGTTTAACTTTAGGGGAGTTGGAAAATGAGCCTATTTTCAAAAATAGTGGAGTGTTCCTTTAACATTTTATTTTAAGTCCATTTATAGGAATCCAGCAGCTGTCGACTGTGACTGGATGCTTAAAAACAAGGCTAGTTTATATTCATTTTCGGTTGGTGTTGAGTTGGTTTTGGGCTGGTAAATGCAATTTTTTTATCTCACAATTCTGACTTTTTTGCTTGCGTTTTCAAGTTTATATCTCATAATTCTGAGGAAAAAAAACTGCGAGACTTACAGACAGAATTGTATGCATAGCTATGTCAGTATAACATGCTGTGACAGTGTTATTATTATTCATAGCTCACATTTTACGCAATTTATCATGCAAAATGCTTTAAAAATTTTAAAAATTGAATTAAAGAGAGTAACTAGTCTAAAATCATCCAAATAAAAACAGATTAAATAAAAATAAAATTAAAACATTTATCAAAACGTCTGTCAACTGTGATTGGACGCTGGAAAAATTGGGCTTGTTTTCATTCCTTATGGGTGGGTTTTGGAGTGTAAATTGTTCTGGGACCTGGCAACCCTTGACAGAACCGATGAAGATGAACTGACCTCTGCCTTCAGTCTCTCGATCTCTGTATCCTGGTCTTCCAGTTGCGTCCGCAGCTGATTTGCCGCCACCTTTTCCGTCTCCGTGATCTGCACCAGATGGATGTATTTCTGCATGAGAACTTCCCGCTCGATGATGAGGTCTGAATAACTGCCAGTGACAGCAGAAGGACAAAGCTGCTTAGAAACATTTACAAAGAGAAACTCTGAGTGCTAAATAAATCAATGAGCCACTCAAAAGCCTTATTTAATATAGTCCTGGGTCGTATTTTCAGTGGTGCATGCATCATTTCTACATAATAGCTAATAGGTTGTATGGTCTTGGTTTTATTTGAAACCCAATCCAGAAAAAAAAACAAAAAAAAAAACTATGAAGTTCTTAAGTTATCTTTAGTTTAAGTATTAGCTTAGTCTCAGATGTTTCTCCCAAAATTCATTTGGAGGAATAAAAACAGGCATAAATTAGAAAAATTTTGACATACAGTCTGAGTATAGTGCTATAAATTAATGTGGATAGCAGCTCAGATAATTTGGTCAATTGTTTCATATCAAGATCTTTGACTTTAGATTATAAACATAGAATTTTCTTAATATTCTTAATAAGATTTAATTTCTATATAATATGTTTTATATATATATATATATATATGTTTTAAATCTAATTTATATGTTTTAAATCTAATTTATGTTTTCACTTTAATTTTAGTTAAAAGTTTTGGTAATTTTGTTGTGTTTTTGTCATTTTTGTCAGTTTTTTTTAAATATGTCTGTATAGTTTTTGTTAATTTTATTTCTTATTTTAGTACTTCAAGTTAAACTAAATGAAATTAAGAAATTAGCTAAAATAAAATAAGTTTAAGTTTTTTTTTATATTTAATTTTTTCAGTTAACCAATATTTCAAGCAACAGAATTTTTTTTGTTATTGTTTTAGTTTTAGCTATTTAGTACTTCAGGTTAAACAAAACTGATAAATTAGCGGAAATAAAACAAAATAATCTTCTTTCTTTCTTTCTTTCGTTCTCTTTCTTTCGACAGTTATTCTAAGAAAGAAATGCAAATGTTTTTTTTGTTTTTTTTCCCGTTAATTATAATAACCCTGGTGTGGGATTACTGAGGTCTTTTTTCTTCTGAAAAGTAGGAGACTTCAGCAAAAGTCTTCATTTGCATTGCTATCTAGAAGAAACAAGTGATTTTTCTTTCCTACAGAAAGGTTGTCACATGACAGGTTAACCAGCTCAGCAAAACCTCATCATGTTCTCAAAGATGTTGAGTGTTCTGTATTTTTATTGTACCTGGCCTGTTGAATGGCCTCCACCCACTCATTACAATCAGCATCCTCTTCTGTCCGCAGCTCCAGAGGTTTCTGCCCATCGTGGCCGAAAATCACCAGGAAGTAATACTGAAAAAGATGAGAAATGAAACATCAGAGAATCAGCATTCAGTATTCATAGTGCATTTGGCCCATAGTGAGCAGCATTAATACAGTTCTGACCTAAATAGAGACGCTTCCAGCGGCCACTAGCATGAACTTGCATGCACTCATTAAATGGAAATGACAGAAGACGTGTTACTGAGTAATTTCGCCTTAAATCAAGAAGCAGCATGTGAAACAGCCAATCAAAAGAAGATAATATAATAAAACACCAAGCGTGTCACCAACACACAGTGGGAAAAAATATGAATATATTATATCTGGAAGTGAAAAAACGAAGTAAAAAAAATCAAAAAAAGCATTGTCTTCTTTAACTCTCATGTTGTGTTCTGGTCATTTTGACTTTGATTTGATTTTTCCCAAAAATGTTAGTTAATATTATCACCAGAGCTGGGTAGATTACTTACAAATCGTAGTCAGTTACTGATAAAAACTGTAGTTAGTAATGTAAACTAAGGTTACTCATTTTAGGTCATGTAATTTTGACTACTTTTAAGATTACTTTTATCAAACTTGTTTTAAACTTAAATTAAACATACCATATTCATATAAAAAAAGCAAAGAAAAAGAAAACATTCCATTTTTATTTTTTTTATTAAACATTATATTATGCCAGGGTTTGCCAAACTGGGCTGAATGTAAGAACTGCAGTGGGTTTGTGAGTTTATAAAAAGCTAATAATTAACTAAACCTTAAAAATGTACAATAAAAATAATTTAAATCCTTGAACGCTAAAAATATAGATATTTTATTTGTTTACGTGCATATCAATTTGACCATCAACTGGCGTCAGAGAACTGTAAACGTGTGAATGTGTTGTTAAATTATTTCAAATATGAACTTCCTCAGAGTTATTCCAAATATATATTTAAGAGGTTCAGCTGACAAAAACATTTGGGAATCTCTGCATTATATGAACAAATATTAATAAACATGAAAACAACAATGACATTACAAGCCCAAAGTCTTTTGTCCAGACTTCCATTATGAATAATTTACTGCTATTGTGTGAATATGTCATCATGTAATCCATAAAAAGTAACGGTAATCAGATTATGAGCATTTTAAAATGTAATATACTCTAATTACAAGTACTTAATTTTTGGAATCTGATTACATAATCCAGATTACATTTTTTTTTTTGAGATACCACCTTGTTATACTTGTTCTGTTCCTGGTCAAAAATGACCAGCCTATAAATTATTAATACAAACAATGGTTTATAAATTATTAAATTATTACCAAACATTGTATTCAATCTTTCGGTCAACTTATTTATGGTCAATTAGCGCAGGTTTTTTTATTTATTTTTGGAACTACTTGATGGTAGGCCTTCGTTGATGCAGCTCAGTTTTTGCCAAAATATTGCCAAAATTACCCACAAATAATGCTTTTTTTCACTGAAAAGCTGAGGTGCATTAGCTCAGATCAATGAGGCCTATGACCAATCCGTTTCAAAAAGAAATACAAAACCTGTGCTAATTGAAAGAAAACAAATTGACAAAGAGATTGAATCCAAGATTTACGCATAATGAGAGAGTTTTTAAAAGGCCAGGTTTTTTTTGTTTTTTTGAGCAGGAACACTAAATTAGGTAAAGGATTTTCACTACAGACTTAATTTTCTTATGTATATTTACTTGATTATGGATAGAAATATGACCTGGACAGGTTCTTGACATAAGTGATGGAGCGAAAGAGCCAGAAAACTGTGAGAGTGTTTTATAGGACGTAGGCTTAAGGGCTCGTTTGTGTTCTCATGATGCACGGCTGGTGTGTGTGTGTGTGTGTGTGTGTGTGTGGTTATGTAACCGGCAGAGCTTCTCCTCTGTCTTTAATGCACTGTCCTGAGCCTCAGGCCTTGTTTAAACCAAGAGATAACAATAGACACGGCCAGCCCACAAATACATCGGACTCTGTTTCCCTTTCACCGACCCACAGAACTATCTTCTCCCACTGAATGCCATTAAAATCTGCTTTATGCATCCGATTACAATAACAAAGCTCATTGACGGGTCAGAACTCATATTCATATCGGACACATTTGCATCATTTTTGCTAGCAGCTCTAGATGCGTGTTTTCTTGGGTCACGCACATAAACACACACAGATTGTCCTTCCGAAGTCATGCACTGTAGACTTTCATTCAGATAACCGCGTCTGAGAGAAACACGCTGCCAGAAGAACTACTATTCTTAGACGGGAACCCAGAACTGTGTTGCTCATGTGTGAGGCTCGTTTACGCTCAGCAGAGCTCACGAAACCGCAAGAATCCCGAGAGGGCCTACATCTCGAAGAATCCAGAAAATATGACCAAATCAACATGCAATGGCATTTAGAATGCATTTTAACATTTTAACATTTAAAACTTAAATATTTAAAATTCATATTTCTTAAAGGGCGGGAAAGAACTTTTTCCATTAATAGTTATACAGCGTAACAGCTTGGTTCCAGAACTTTTATTTTTTATTATAAATCTTGACTACATAAGAATTTTCTTTCATTTTCAATGCAGTTAACATAATCAAATCAGTACATTATATTACTGTCGCAAATGTTAAATATACAAAATAAAACTAGACTGCCAGTGATTCATAATTAATATTGAAATAACTTAAAATCTATAACTTTTACTCTCATGCTCCAAAGCTCTACAAGTTATTTTTTTTAACAAATTAATACTTTTATTTAGCAATGATGCATAAAATTGATGAAAGGTGAATAAGAAATATAAGAATTTCTTTAAATGCTTAAACGCTGCTGTTTTGAAACTTGTATTTAAAGAATGTTGGAAAAAATCTTATAGTTTGCAAAAAAAAAGTGAAAAAAAAAGTTTCTTGAGCAGCAAATCTGAATATTAGAATGATTTCTGAAGATCATGTGACACTGAAGACTGGAGGAATGATGCTGAAAATTCAGCTTTGATCACAGCAATAAATAATATTTTAAAATATATTCACTTAGTTATTTTGAATAGTAATAATATTTCACAATATTAGTGTTTTTACTGTTTCAAATAAACACAGCCTTGGTGAGCAGAAGAGACTTCTTTCAAAACTTAAAAAAAATAAAAAATAAATAAATCTCACCAACCCAAACTTTTGAACAGTACAATTATACATATACTGCAAGCAAACTGACTTTATCCCATCATTTGCCATGTTTAAAGATAGTAAGTGATCTAAAAAAAAATAAACAGGGTACGCTTTCATTTTAATGTGGACTTTAAAGGGAACAGAACTCAAAGTCAGCTGACGCAGTAGGAAGCTGGTGATGTATAAGTGCTGCGAGCATAATAATACAGTGGCACTTCAACATGACATCAAACCTGATTTCCATGGTAACACAAGTCATTGGCACGCTGGTGGTTGTGTCAAGCATATTTCATTTTGCATCTGAATCTTTATCATGTACGTTCAAAGAGGGAGATTAGTCTACTGCTGCATGGCCGAAACTGGAGCGAGAGGAAATATCGGATAATGCAGTTATGAGCACTTTGCATCACAATAGCTCAAACTGGATTAGCTTATATCAAAAACGGCCAAACTATCACATTAAAAACGTTACCATAATTAATTGTAATTTTATTCTAAAATAAAAGCAGGCATTTCACGCATAAAGGACTGCTTTATAAATACACAGGTTAGTTTGCACATCACAAAAGCTTGTTTAATTGAGTTGGCCCAGAAATCAAAGCGCATTCAGCATTTGTTTTTAAATGCTGTTGAAGTACTTTGAAGCTCTCTGATGCTGCGCACGGTTTGATGCGTCCGCAACGAGCACCAGCAAATGCAAACAGGCTCAGCTTCAACATACAACAATATTTTGATCATTTTGGTAGACTCTTTAAAGAAGATGCCTGGCAATATACAATAAAAAGTACTGGAAAATAATTATATTAATGGATATTTAAAAAAAATACACTATTGGTCAAACGTTTGGAATAATTACAACGTTTTAATCTTTTTGAAATAAATTCCTTCTACTCACCAAAGCTGCATTTGGTTAAAAATACAGTAAAAACAGTAATATTGTGGAATATTATTACCATTTAAAATAATTGTTTGAAAATATATTCAAATATTAAAATGTAATTTAAAAGAACAGTACTTCTTTGTATTAGAAATCTCTTGTAATATTATTAAATCTTTACTGTAACTTTTGACTAATTTAATGCATACCTACTTATCTTACTTTTCCCAAATGTTGAATGGTAGTGTATATCACAGTTTCCACAAAAATATGAAGCAGCACAACTGTTTTCAACATTGATAATAATCAGAAATCAGCATATTAGAATGATTTCTGAAGGATCATGTGACACTGAAGACTGGAGGAATGATGCAAGCATATTTCATTTTGCATCTGAATCTTTATCATGTACGTTCAAAGAGGGAGATTAGTCTACGGCTGCATGGCCGAAACTGGAGCGAGAGGAAATATCGGATAATGCAGTTATGAGCACTTTGCATCACAATAGCTCAAACTGGATTAGCTTATATCAAAAACGGCCAAACTATCACATTAAAAACGTTACCATAATTAATTGTAATTTTATTCTAAAATAAAAGCAGGCATTTCACGCATAAAGGACTGCTTTATAAATACACAGGTTAGTTTGCACATCACAAAAGCTTGTTTAATTGAGTTGGCCCAGAAATCAAAGCGCATTCAGCATTTGTTTTTAAATGCTGTTGAAGTACTTTGAAGCTCTCTGATGCTGCGCACGGTTTGATGCGTCCGCAACGAGCACCAGCAAATGCAAACAGGCTCAGCTTCAACATACAACAATATTTTGATCATTTTGGTAGACTCTTTAAAGAAGATGCCTGGCAATATACAATAAAAAGTACTGGAAAATAATTATATTAATGGATATTTAAAAAAAATACACTATTGGTCAAACGTTTGGAATAATTACAACGTTTTAATCTTTTTGAAATAAATTCCTTCTACTCACCAAAGCTGCATTTGGTTAAAAATACAGTAAAAACAGTAATATTGTGGAATATTATTACCATTTAAAATAATTGTTTGAAAATATATTCAAATATTAAAATGTAATTTAAAAGAACCGTACTTCTGGTAGTGTAGTTCAATGAATAACATTCAAAGTAAAAAAACAAAAAACAAAAAAACATATGTAATTATGAAAGAAAAAAAAAAGCCGTGTGAAGAACGTGTTTCAGATTGACAGCACACTGCTGCAGAAATCAGCATATTAGAATGATTTCTGAAGGATCATGTGACACTGAAGACTGGAGGAATGATGCTGGAAATTCACAGGAATAAATTACATTTTACAATATATTCGCTTAGAAAACAGTTATTTTAAAATGTAATAATATTTCACAATTTCTACTATATTTTTGATCAAATAAATACAAATCACTTCTTTCAAAAACATTTAGAAAATGTAACAATTCCAAGCTTTTGACTGGTAGTGTAGTTCAATGAATAACATTCGTGTGTGTTTGTGTGAGTGTGTGTGTGTGTGTGTGTGGAGGGGGCAGCAACATATGCTATAACATAATGGAAGAGATTGTGAGTGGGTTTACTTAGCTAAATCTGACAAATCTACTTAGGGGAATGCCTTCAATTGGATGGTATTATACATTAATACAGTTTTTTATTTTAAAAATGCAAAAAAAAGTTTTATTCTATGGTTAGGTGATAGTTATTCTCATTTATATTTTACGCTAAAAAAAGAGAAAAACTAATCACAAATTTATCATTACATTTCTCATTTGTGGGTAGAGACATTTTACTTTTGAGTTTATTTGTAATTGTCATTATTCACAATGGTAAAAGTACACTGTAAACGTGTTTATTTAAACGCTATTTAAACTTTTTATTATTAAAATCAACACAAATTAAAGGAAGTACAACAAACACTATCATGATATATAAATAAATGCTTTTTATTATTTTTAATTTAAATAAAAAAATGTTACCCCTAAATTTTATTGTATAAATTCGGGTAATTTGAGGGTTATTTAAAAAGAAAAAGAAAATAAGCGCATCAGCGTATCAATAAAAATAAATAACTGCATGCTCACTTTATTAATAATAAGTTGATTTTTAAGTGAGCATGCAGTTATGTGTTTTTTGTTACAAGTCTTTTTCCGGTAACACTTTACTTAAAGCCTTTATGTGTAATGCATTATAAAGGGTTATTAAAGGGTGTAATGCATTAGAGTTATTCATAATCTGTGTTGTAATACATTATATCTTGTCGTAAATAATTATACCTAAATTTAAAATGCATAATGCAACAATGAATTGATAAGTGTTATAATGTATTAACTGTGGTTACAATAATTCATGAGACTGTACAATGCATTATAAGGTGCATTACAAGGCATAATTAATGCATTAAAACTACTTTTATATATATATATATATATATATATAAATTATATATATTATACATATATATAAATATAAATAATAAAATAACACTGCTTCAAACTAAAATTATAATAAAATTCAATTTATGTAATATTTTAAGAAATTTTGAATTTTGTCCGAAAAACAAATTTATTTCATACATTTTGTGTCTATACAGAAGCTGACTTATAAAAACAAACCTAGACTGAGAAACTGTCAGTAGAGTAAAAACTGTGACAACTAGCCCCAGTGTACTGTGTTCAATATGACACACACACACACACACACAACACACAAACAAACACACACTCTCTCACTCATAAACACAAACACGTTCAATATGACACACACACACACACACCACACACACAAACAAACACACACTCTCTCACTCATAAACAGACACAAACACGTGGTTTGTGTAGAAACCAACTTCTTCGAAACTGACACACTTACACCTGAAATATGGCTTTGATCGTAAGAGCGAGTAACTAGTAGATCACAGATGAAATATGGAGTGAATCTGAGGTCAGATCATACCTGCTGTTTATCTGAACTCTCTTTCCCGACGGTGGACACTTTGGGAGCCGGGATCCTCTCGCAGGTGCATCCCTCCAGCAAATAAATCCCTGATGGTCTGGTGCTCTGCTCGTTCTCAAAGCAAAACAGCACATTCTGATACAGCGCGAAGTACTTTTCGTTCCAGCGGTTGTTTTCTGCGGCTTTTTTACTCAAGAACCCGCGTTTGATTCCCTCTCTACGCGCGACCATGGACAGATAGAGCGCGTGCCCTTCATTATAACGCACGCTCTTCTGCATCTTACAGCCCTGACTGTCACACTGAACCCATCATCCTCCTCCTCCTCAGACACAGCAGCCAGAGATGATGATGATGATGATCTAAAGTCCAGCCGAAAGCGCTGATGCTGTGCGTAAAGGAGTTTCCAGACGCGAGTAACGCGTAATTACGCACAGCGATATCCTAAATGAGTACGCGGGTAACAAAGCAAGCAAAAACACACTTCAGAAAGTCAACAAATATAAAAAAAAATAATGTCTAAAATGCGCGCACCGACGTAAAACAAAAATAGCGCCAGTGAACAGACGGTACAACAGAATCACGACCGAGATCAGCGCTAATCGGCTTTGACACCAACTTAAAGAGACAGAACTATTTACCCAACGCTCTATATTTACATCACTGTCCACAGAGAATACTCTGGTATCTCTCTCACGCCTCCCTGAAATGAGTTTTGCCGAAAGCTGCAGATACTAGAGTTAACCTAACTCTATTTTCAGGATCATGACAGAATTTAGCTCTTTAAATTTAATTTGAAAAGTGTAGTTTTTTCCAACGAACTGTTTTCAATGAGTAGCATTAAAGGCAGGGTATGTGATTTTTCAAAAACACTTTAGAAAACTGATTCGGGCCGAATAGCAAAACAAACTTGTAGCCAATCTGCAATAAGGGGCGTGTCTACTCGTGATGTGGAGGAGAGCGCGTTCAGTGCATGGGATGGACATTAGCCGAGCCGAGAGACAGAAAGATAGAGACAGAAAGATAGAGACGCAGTTTTCTGTTGGGATTTGTTGCGCCGCGCCGCTCACGTCCGTAGACACGGTGTAACATTGGTTTTGCTTTGTTCCACAGAACTAATCGTTGCCTGGGTTGCGTACGTATATGTGGGGCGGAGCAATCAAAATAGGGGCAAGACCCTTTTGGGGTAGGGGCGTGTTTGTTTTGGTGATTTCAAATATGAACATTGGCTACCAGAAATCACTTACTCTGCCTTTAAGTCCCGAGTTTCCGAGTTGGGGGCGTGTCAGTGAGAAAACATGTCGGATACAATGTTCAAATTAATAAAAAAAAAATTTTCATGTACAATAAAGCTATATACGTTACATATACAAAATATGATATTATTGTGTAATTACCATGGAATGTTATGATTCAGTTTATACATTGAATAACAACAGAAAAAAGGGGGAAAAAATAATGATACACATTCTTTATTCATCATTTAGTAGATGTAGAGTTAAAAAAATTTTTTGAATTTTATGTAGAAAAGTTAAATCGCTATCTTGTTCCGACTAAAGTGACTTGAACGTACCGATGTCATAATTGCGACTTGTCAACTCGTAAATACAAACTTTCCAGGAAGACTTGAATGCACCATACCATTAGGCTACTAATAATTACAACAAACTTTACTACACTCTCTCAAGTAGCCTAGCGTTCGGAGATCGAATTCAGTGTAACGTTAGCCTACTGAATCGGTTTCATTAGTTCGTTCAAAAACGATTCACCAATTAAGTTGGTTCGCTGCCCGCATTGAATCTCATTTGTATCAAAATATGTAAATAAGGTTGTTCTTTATTTAAATAATAAATTAGCATGTTTTCTAAATGTATGAGTTGTATTTCAATGTGAATGTCCATCAGAAAATATTTTTTAAAATAGTCTAGTTTTGGAGCTGTTTTTGTTTTTCAATGACTACCACTGTGGCGTGACAAAATACACTGCTGATGTGCTTTCTACGTCAGCCGAGGTAAACAATACACATTTTCCACAATAATAATAATAACAACAACAACAACAACGACAAACAATAATAATCTACAATCGAGTAACGTTACCGTTTAGAAGTTGGATTCAATGTACGGAATCAAAAACGATTTACCAATTCATTTGATGCGATGTGTGTATTTGCGACTCCTTTGTATCCGCAATTAAATGTTGTTGTTTTTTTTAAACATTTAAAGATCGCATGTTTTAAAAGTATATCATTTTTTTCTAAACGTCCGAAATTCAGCAGTTTAAAAAAAAAAGTTTTCCAATGAGTAGGCTACCCTTGTAGCACGACAAAATACTGCACCACTGACTGTTGTGTTTTGTGTTTTATACACTTTCCACAACAATAAAAAGAAAAACAAGTAATTTACAATATCTCTCAAGTAGCGATCGAAGGCCGGGTTCAATTTACTGAATCGGTTTGTTAGTTCAAAAACGATTCACTAATTAATTTGATGCGCTGCGCATTTAAGTCTCTGTTTCCTTAAAATATTTAAATGCTGTCATTCTTTACTCAAATTAGCATTTTCTCTCATTTTTAGTTGTATTTTAGTGTCAACGTCCACCAGCCAAACTAGCTGGTCCAAATGAACCTCACATGCAAGGCTTACCAAATTTGAACACTTGCAGTAAATTTGCCAGAACATCTTGTTTTTTTTCTTAAAAGGTGAGTTTGTTGATCATTTTAAATCAGTCTGAGCTGCGTAAATATTGAGATTTACGCCCCCTGGTGTTAATTGTATGAAATCACCAGTAAAAACAATGCTTTTACTGCACTGACACACATCACCTCTTGAAATGATCATAGCACCAAATTTATACATTTATATATAATAATGAGATAATTTATGGATGTTGGCATGTGGCGCATGTGTTATGCATAAATAATCTAAACTCTGAGCTCGTTGTGATGCATTCTGGGATTGCCTAGAGTCACGTCACAATGCCTTAAAACCCCATCTATCTAGCCATCTCTGGGTTTGGGAATAGAGCCAATGTTTCATGTGATGTCTGTGATTAGAAACACATATTAAAGCTGTTTTCAGACCAGAATAAAGCAGCATAAAGCTTGAGGACACTCACACCACACCTTCTGGCTGTAAAGCTGACTTCACTCCTACAAAGAGATGAACATGTGTGTTACAGAGGAAGAGCCCACGATACCAGACGCCCACTTCAACACAACCTCTGCAGGAAACCACATTAAGAGCGTACCCAGCATGCTTTCAGACTTCTTTGGGAACATGCACTATAATATTTGCAGCTAATACTGAATATCCTTGCAGCCAAAACTCATTAATCTCGAAATATATGAGCATGCGTAAATTTAGCCTGCGAACTGAAATGACACAGAAAGCCTCGTGATCGGCAAAACAAAGATAATGGGCTAAATTCAGCTTCATCTGAGGTCTAAAGCAGAACTAGGACAGGATTTCTGATTGTGTCCAGCTTTGCATCGGGTCAGATGAGGTCAAAGGCGGAGGGTGGACCAACTCCAGGGTAAGGCTAAAAGCAGCCAAATCTATTAACTACAAACATCATAAACCCGTCTTTTTAGGCAAGAACCAGACATGGGTGTCATGTAGGCTAATAAAATATGTTTAATGGGACTGAATTTGTATTTAACGTGATTACAATTTAATAAAAAACGTTTATACGTTTAGTATAAAACGTTGGCTTTCCTATGTTATTCAAACAGAGAATAAATTATTATACAGAAAGTGACATTATCACTAACTTTGATCTATCGC